TTTAAACTAGAACCTTTTCTCCATAGAGATATATTTTTACATTTCCAATTACCAGGGTAAAGGCCAGGATCTGACCGGGTGTCCTTGGCCATGTGTGTGGGCGACTATTTGGGCTGTTTGTTTAGCGCCAGCATAAACAGTTGTAACAGTTGGCCATACAAGTCCAAATGCGAATCCAACGCTCGTCCGCAGCGGTAATTACATAACAAAAGTGCATACAAACAAACGGGCAGCAACAAAGCCCAACTACTAGCAACCGAAACAGGCAACGACCATCGGGCAGCCTAACCATGGTCATCTGCATCTGGACCAGCACTTAAATGAGTTATACAAATAATTGTGCCGTGATTATTCCACTGGCCACGTATTCCACACGAGTACAAACAAACGTGGCACAATGGCCCTGTGATGAGTTGGCAACAGGGTAAGTAAACATGCCGCAAAAAAGCAAGGCAAAACATATTAGAGATACTTTGGGCAAATACTTGTGGCCAAGAAACCAAAAGCAGCAAAAGCCAACGGAAGTACAAAATAAAAGTTAATCATCTATTGACTATTTGCTATTGTGGTGGTGGAAAAAGCTTAACATTATACTTTAAGGATCATCGTAAATCGTACAATTCGTAATCGGATAAGTGGAGGTCATTCCGACAAATGACGTATACGCAGTGTAGGCCCGCACACAATTGTCTGTAAACATTGCAATTTGTTACTGTAACCATACAGGATCTATAGGTTACAGTGGTGTGCATGAGTAAGTGGATGGACATAGTAAATATTTAATAACATGTTCCTTTAATTTAAGACTTTTCTACGCTTATTAAAATATTACAAAGGATTTCGCAATATTTCAAAATAATATAATTATTTATAAATAATAAAAATAAATACTTATATAAAACAATATAAAAACTGTGGCTTTTTCCGCTATCTTTTCCGCTAGCACTGTTTTAGCAAAATCAGCTGCGAGGAACTTCAACTTCAGGGCACCACCATTGCCTTAGAGAGGTCCACTTGTTCGAGTCGATAGCCATGGCCGAAGGCGTGTGATTTATAACTAATTGATGAACACAATCATGCAGTTGATGGTCACATGGCCCAAAAGTGGGGGCATGTCCTTGCCGCCTTTGAGTACAGTTGTGCTCAAGGTCACAAGCTGAGAGCCGGTGGACTCCATTTTCCCCCAAGCGCCAATGTCTCGGTTGGAAAGCTGATGCAGTGAAGCGTTTCGCTTGAATAATATGCGGCATAACCGAGTTTATTATGCTTAGGCCCTGGGAGGAGAGAGGGTCACAGAATTGGAGTGATGAAAGGGATGGAAAGTTTTCTCCCTGGGGCAGGCTTAAATGGCGTGCACGCATTTCCGTTTCCGCCCTGCGCAATCAATTTGAAATTCGATTTTTATGCCGCGGTCCACTTTTGTTACTCTTGTCGTTGCTTAGCTTTTGTGTTTAATTGATGAATAAATTTAATTGAACTAAATGGATTTCGTTTTGCGTCATGTTACTGTTGGGGCTCTGCCTAATGGCTTTCATGTCTTTATGTATATATATATTTATATATATAAACCTATATATAAAGCCATCGCACTCGTTTAACCCTTGCCGCTATCGAAACCCTTCATATATTTGCATTTGTGGGCTTTGAACAAAAGCTACCAACAAAATACCAGCTGGCAACGCATTTTAATTGAATTTCAATTGATTGCAAAAATGTTCCATTTTGGCGCCACAACCAAAATTTTATTTTAATTAATTAGAATTGATAACAATAAAGGGTTTTCCATACTTTTTGTTCGCACTCGCTTAAATAATAGATGCTCTAATGGCTTTGTGTTTGTGCTGGGACGGGGTACTCAAATTATACAGGGCGCACTAGCAGGACAATTTATTACTGGAGAAACTGGGGTGATGGTCGCAATTGATTGACACGAATAGCCTGAATAATTATTGATTAAAAAAGTCGAGATATCAAGCTAATCGTATTGACATTACTGCAAATTAAAAAGCTTAGCGCATAATAATAACAATTGTGGCCTATTTGATTTACAATTGAATCATGTTTTAAAACCAGCTTAAGTTTTTCTCCCCATTAAATTATTTTATCAATGTTTATCCGTGCTTAGTAGTTTAATAGTTTAGCTAATGGTTCGACAAAGTTTTTTAAAGTTTTCCATTTGGCGTCTGAGAGAAGTGAATCCAGTTTTTCTTCCGTTCGCAAAACACATCCATACGCATAATAAAATATGTTCACCAAACTGCAATCAAAGCGACATAACACAAATTTCACAGATTTTTGCACATTAAAAATATGTTCGCTACTCCTGCTTGCAATTTCCCACAAGCACACATACACACCAGCTCACATGCCACGCCTCCCATGAGCCCATTTGAAGCTTGCCAAAAAAAAAAAAGGTCAAAAAAGTTTTTATGCCAACGAGCAGCAAAAAAATATAATCGAGGAGCGGGAACGAAAAGAAGCTGGCTGGCAAAAGGAGAGTCTACATTTATGTTGCCTTTTCAGGGCCGGGAACCATGGCGTATGGGGGCTTTTGGCCAAATGCAACGCTGAATTTGATAATCAATTACCGTGCCATAGCCGCGGGGAGGAGTTTGAGGGCCCATAGAGCCACATATGGGCCACATTTAGTACAAACTGCAGATTGCAGACAGCCCACAGACGCAAAGTGGACGCAAACACAAGTAAATGCCAGCGGATACACTAGACTTTGTACCACGCTACGTATGAGTAATATGCGGGATTGTCTATTGCAGGTCATAGCCTTTGCATGTACGGTGCTACGGAGTTGCAGGTGGCATGGCAAATAAATATTCAAATGCCCACAGATTTGGTGAAATTTTTCATTACAAACTGCAAATTGGCTTGTGTCTTCTCGGCAGCTGCTTCCCCCTGGCTGTGTCCATATATCCACAAATTAATGAATTGCCATAACCATAGCCATGTTAAAATTCCACAAATCTTTGTTGCATGAATTTATGGCTTGCAGTCGTAAAAGATATCAATTGCAGTTTGAATATTTAAGGATTGTGGAAATAAATTTGAAAAGATCTGCCCAGAAGATGTAAAATTTAAGGGAAATATTTTAAATAAAATTTGCATTTTTAGAAAGTTTTATAGAAAAAGCCAATTAAAACTTTCCAGTATTTTCTCCGTTCTTTTTACTTTGCAATTAAAGCCATTTCCATCTTTTTTCACTAACATCAACTTCGATTTCCTCTTGACGTTAATTGACGCTGTCAGCTTTGGCAGCAATCACTTAATGAAATCATTTAATCAGTGCCGGCGACAATCGACAAAGTGAAAATGGCAGTACCACCGGCGCCTTTCGCTCGGCTTAGAACACATGTTCCATTTATGCTCTACACCAATCAACTTGGCACATGGAGCTCCGACCGGCACTGTTAGTGGTTCCCTGTGCTGGCTGTTCGAATGACACTAGGGAATTGTGGGCTGCCGACAGCTGTCCTTAATTACATGGAAATCCACACTAGATCCCTCCATACCCACCCAAGTCCCCAAAGAGTCATTCACCTTGCCACCAAGAAAGTACAAAAAATAAAATGGCCCAGCACAAGGTTACCTTAATCGAAGCTGGGAATACTCTTTATTGATTTTTTTTTAGCCAATTGATGAGTTTAAGTATTTGAAGTACTATTTTTATTGTTTTTAAATTGTAGACCTTGACTAAAGACAATACCTTTATTTAAGAGTATACAATAATTTAAGGAAAAGCAAAAGGCAAAGGCTAAAATCGAAATCAAGCGCATATAACATATTATTTCAACAGGCAACTCATTCAGCATATAGAATTACCACCCATGGCGATGGAGGTAGTTGGTGTACGTAGCCCAGGAGGTGCTGGTGCAAATGAATGAAGGAAAGGGAAACTTCGGGGTGCCCTGGGATGGTTGGGTTTCAGGGTTGGTGGTTGGGGCCTTGAGGGTCGGGGATTAGGGGCTCGGTTATGGCATGGCATCGCGTAGGCCTGCGGAATTGAGGTGAATAAGCGAAGAACACATTCACATACTAAAAGGCAAACAAAGGGAAATCAATCTTTGTACATACTTTTAACATATGCACACGTATGATATCCCGACCCTCCTCCTGCACCTTGCCCCGCTATGTCACACACACCAGCCCATGCTTATATGCATCGTATGTCTGTGTGTGTGTGTGTGGCGGGGAATTGGGGAATATTTGCATGCCTTTGTGTACTTTTTCCATATGATTTATGACCTAAATTGTTGCTGCTCGCACACATATAATTACACTCGCATACAAACACACGCTCCCGTTACATTTGCGGATTTCTGAGCTTGCATGTATGGGTGTGTCGTCTTGGGACGCGCTCCAAAGTATGCTACACTTTTTGTTTTATGAGTTAATAAGTAGGCGTTGCCCCAGCCCAATTGCTACACCCTGATTATGGTGCTCCAGCACCACCCCAGCGTCAAACGGGGAATATTCGAAAAACCCATATGTGCGGATCAGATAGGATAGCACAAAACTTTTACAAGTACACTTTTGGGGCAAGCAATTTAGAAAATGTACCACGTCGGCAGCAAAATTCTTTTTACGCTTGACTGAGCTGCACTCGCTTATGGGATTTAAAAAATAAATTCTTGTAGTTCAAGTTTCAACGAAAACAGAGGCCTACTTTACAGCAATTTATAAAATGAAACATGGCGTAAAATTTAAAAGCTAATTTCACCCACTTTATAAACCCACCCTAAATGCAAAATAGCTAAGCCAGCATTCAGGCAATCGGTTTTAGCCCAAAAAGACCCCAACCGTGACCTTCACTTCGCCAGCTTTGGCAAACAGCAGAGAATCTGTGCAACTGCAGTGTTGGCGAAAATGTCAGCACGGGATTAGGTCAATCCGCAACAGTTAATCTCCCTGCTACCAGGCTAATCCAATTCCGTTCGCTTGTATATAAGCCAGAGCCCGTTCCGGCTGTGATTCCGTCTTGGCCCGAAGACCGGAGCATGGGCATGGAGTCCGTCAACGTGTCGTCGAGTATTTTCGCCAACGTGTCCACCGCACTGCGGCCGGAGGCGCGTCTTTCTGCCGAGACGCGCCTTCTGGGCTGGAATGTTCCGCCGGAGGAACTTCGCCACATCCCGGAGCACTGGCTTACATATCCGGAGCCACCAGAATCGATGAACTATCTGCTGGGCACGCTCTACATATTCTTCACAATTATGTCGATGATCGGCAATGGTCTTGTCATCTGGGTCTTTACGGCGGCCAAGTCGCTGAGAACTCCGTCAAATATTTTAGTAATCAATCTGGCCTTTTGTGATTTCATGATGATGATCAAGACACCGATATTCATCTACAACAGCTTTCATCAGGGCTACGCCCTGGGCCACTTGGGCTGTCAGATATTCGGAATAATTGGATCCTACACGGGGATCGCTGCTGGTGCCACAAATGCCTTCATCGCCTACGATCGTTTCAATGTGATTACGCGGCCCATGGAGGGCAAGATGACCCACGGCAAGGCGATCGCCATGATTATATTCATCTACATGTACGCCACTCCCTGGGTGGTGGCCTGCTACACGGAAACCTGGGGCCGATTTGTCCCGGAAGGCTACCTGACCTCTTGCACCTTTGACTATCTGACCGATAACTTCGATACGCGCCTCTTTGTCGGCTGCATATTTTTCTTCAGCTTCGTGTGTCCCACCACGATGATCACCTACTACTACTCCCAGATTGTCGGCCATGTTTTCAGCCATGAAAAGGCCCTGAGGGACCAGGCCAAGAAGATGAACGTGGAATCGCTGCGCTCGAATGTCGACAAGAACAAGGAGACGGCCGAGATCCGAATCGCCAAGGCGGCCATAACCATTTGCTTCCTGTTCTTCTGCTCCTGGACCCCGTACGGTGTTATGTCCCTGATCGGAGCCTTTGGGGACAAGAGCCTGCTGACACCGGGTGCCACGATGATCCCGGCCTGTGCCTGCAAAATGGTGGCCTGCATCGATCCATTCGTGTATGCCATAAGCCATCCCAGATACCGCATGGAGCTGCAGAAGCGCTGTCCCTGGCTGGCCATCAACGAGAAGGCACCAGAATCCTCGGCAGTCGCCTCTACCAGCACCACCCAGGAGCAGCAGCAGACCACCGCCGCCTAAAGGACATTCTCTTTAAAACCAAAACGATGACGAACTAAACCGCCAACGATCTTGTAATATAAAGTGCCACGGGAAAAAAAGTGTATAAAAACAATCGGTGCAAAAGCCACTGACACTCTAACTAATGTGACTATTATTGTATTATTTGAAGTAGTTGTTTGTGTTAAAAAATATATAGACAAATTATTGCAGACGACGAAAAAGAAAAAATTTGAAGCGTATTTTTGCTTGGGGATTCAAATATTACAATATTACAATATTATTCATAATTTTAAGCATCAAATTGGCCAAAAATTCATATATTATCAGACAAAGGTGCCTACAAAAATTAAATAAATACAGAATCGAAAAAATATTATATCCTTTCTTCTTTTATATTATATTAAGAGAAGTAATCCTCCCATAAGCCACATTTGTATTGTAATATTAAAGCCCTGCCCTGCCCTTTTCCGCAGTCAGTTGTCGGTTGTCAATCGGGCACTTGACGCAACCATTGCAGGTCACTCAGACGAACCGATAAAGCCGTCTTCATGCCCCAGAAGCAACAACAAAAGAGTTGGCCAAGAACAATGGCTAAATTGCTAACGTGTTGTGCTAGTTCCAATGCGATCCACACGAGGAAAGCTTTCTCTCTTTCCTTTCTCCCGCTCGGATTTTCTCTTTGGAGAGAGTTCACTTTCCAGCTGGAAGGAGTCTGCGCAGGGGAGACGGTGAAACGTTATGGAAACGAAACAGTAAGAGTTGAAAACTTCCTGATTATTATACGATTTTGGCTAAACAACAAACTTGGGATCCACACACTTAAATACCTGCACGTGCAACCCAGGGGAGTTTGAAGTTATTTGCCAGCGAATATCAAAATAAACAATAACGGTCCATGTCCACATAAATTCCACTCGGGGATCCACAACTAAGATCCACACTCATTAATCACTTAGCTTGGCTTCTGGTTGTAGGGAAGGCAAGAAGCTGTAAATCACCATCCACAGCAGCTAGAGGCGCCTCGGCCACAAAGGATGCTTAGATTTGTGTGGGTTATCCCTAGGACTAACACACATACTCACGCATGGATTCCACATGGCCTCCACAATGGCTTACATCCTCCATTTTTCTTCTTCCCTGGTTTCTTGGGCAATGGCATTTAACAATTTGTTGGCCAAAGTGTTGCACCGTGTGTTTGTGTGGCGCCTCATTATTATTGTTTTCCCAGCTACCATTTCCTTCGCGCTCCGCCCCCTCGCCCTGCTTCGCACTGCCTCGCGCGCATGTATCGCTATTTCGCCTTCCCTTTGGTACCTAGCACGCTTTTGCACTTATTGCCTGGCGGGTATTTGCCGGAGCCTTTTTCCTGCGTCGTTTTGCGGCGAACCCAAAAACCGCACACAGACAGCAAGCGCAAAAGTGCTGGGGGAAAACCGAAGGGACAGCGGCAAGTCGGGGGAGAAGCGGCAGAAAAGCGGGCGCTACCCGCGCCGAGGCCATAAACCAAAATCGGCCGCAGCCACCGACGCTCGCAAATGGTAAAAACGAAGTAAAATTAATGAAAATCACCCACACTGACGCATGCACAGCAAAAAGTAAAGACAGGAAATAAGGACCTAAGGATACTCCTTAAAGTTTTTAATTTCAGAAAATATTTTGGAGAGTTTCCTAAAAGAAACATTTACTTAAATACATTAAATACATTTACTTTAAGGAACACACATGTATCACATCTTTAAAAATAAGTCCGTAAAAAATCAAAGGAAGTCATTATATTTTCATTCAAAATCAGAGATTTAATCTGATTTTATTAAACTTTTTTGAAATCTAACATACCCTGAAAAAAATGCACTTAATGGGGATATAAAAAGAGACAGACTACCAGACGGAGCGGTTTGGCGGGCAGAGACAATTAAAATGGCACCCACAGAACGTCCTTGCACTGTTGAGTGAGTGCCGCCAGGCAGATCCGCATAAATACCCATCCACCCATTACCAACCCAAAGCCACCCTTCCACCACACGGCAGCCAGGCACATTTGTCTTCCACGAAATTCGCTTTGGCTCTCATTAATTAAGATAATTAGGCCTTTTCGACGCCTTCAGAGTTCAACGTGCAAGAAACAAAAACGAAATACAACAAATTTCGGAGCCCACGAACGACGCATTTAGTGACAGTTCAAAGTTCGGGATCGCATGTTGCAGGACTCCCGCCGAAAAAAGGACTCTGCAATTTGCCTTTGCGTGGGCAAACTCTCGAATAAGCTTAATGAGTGGTTAGCGGCATTCTTGCCTTTGATTGTCCTACATGGTCGGAAATCACTTACTTACAACATGCACAAGGACCAACGACCAACCACTCATCTACAGCCTATTTTAGGGATACCCTTAAGGCAAGAGCCAATGCAACCGCAACAGTAAAAGCCCTTTGTGCGGTTACGAGAAGAACTGAAAAGGGCCAATACATGCTGTAATGCTTGAGTTTTGATATAACGATACTATGTTTTTGATCAATTTTATTTAAATCAATAAACTAAGTAAATAAGTCTTTTTTGAAAGTTTAGTCCTTTTGTTTTAAGGCCAAATTCGATTATCCTTTGATGGGCGAAAGGGAAGGATATTTTTGTCATATTCTTGCATTTTTCCAAACTGATTAAAATCACTTGCAGCTGCACTCTAGAGGGCTCATAAAAATGTCAGCTAAATTAGTTATAAATCAGCGGGGGCAGTGGATAGAGTCCCTGACTGGAAATGCAAAAGACACAAGGCAGCTAACAACTTTGTGAGCCAAAATGAAGCCATAAATTATACGAACTAATAATTATATGCCATCAAATTGTTGTAAGCAAGGCAGGAGTCGCCGAAGCCAAAGCTAAAGGCAAGCCAAGGGAAGGCTAAAGTCAGCCAGCGAGTTTAACGGCCAACATAAATTATAGACATTTAAAAAAGAGGGCGGCCACGTTCATCTAGCAGGAAAAAGGGAAGGCAGGCAATGCCGCGTGGAATATGCGATTTTTATCACAGTTTATGCACTGCACACAAAGTCAACATAATAAGGTCAGCACGCACAGGACTGAGGACGAGGTGCTGGCGGTTGGCTGGCGCTTTAATTAAATGGCAAACATCCCGAGTGCCAGAGAGAGCAAAGTTCGAGGTCAGTTACCAGTCGGTCGGTTTGCGCCCTTCCATAGCTCATAGCTTAACACTGAACACCGCTCATCCGCTCACATTTTTTACAGCCCAGCAATTTGCAACAAAATTAGCCCGAAAACGTTACGCGACCATGGCCGTGCCTCATTGAGAATCCACATAAACAAAAGATTGGGTTAAGCATGGCAGCCTCGAAATGGAATGGCATACGTCTAAGTGGCTCTCCATGGGCCATCATGACAAATGCCTCGTTGCCACCTCTTTCCGCTGAAGCCGGTCCTGCTCCTGTTCCTGCTCCTGATCCGGTTCCTGATGCTATTCCTGACTAACTGGCAGCACCACCTCGTGCTCATCCATATCTTGGCAGTCGTAAAGTTCCCGGCTGGATGGCAACAAAAAAGAGCGTTTAAATTTTGTAATTTAAATGCAAATTGACAGGCAAATGACAAACATTGCAATTAACGAGGGACTAGCGGGCGTATACGCAATGTGGCCACAGACCCGCAATGGCAATGGTGCTTGGTCTGAGGACTCCGGACTTGGGAGTCCAAAGTCGGGACTACGGCCGGACACTCAACCAGCCAACAGCGACTCGGCAACAGGACATAATTTAGGCCCTGCTACGTGAAACTCTAAAATTGTCCGGACGGAGGGAGGTTGGTAATGGTTTCGACTCGAAATGGGAATATGCAAATCTTTCCACTGGTTAGCGCCTGCATTTGCAAGTCATACTTGGAGTACTGGGCCTGTTCGGAACACGGTCGCCAAACAATTGAGTGACTCGGCATTGAAAGACAGTCATTAGAACTTTAATATAAGGAAAATTTTAAAAAAGTTTTAGGTTTTAACTTAAAAGAGTAGAAATTAGTCAAGATTTTTAATTATTCAATTCAATTCGTTAAAAACGCTTCATAAATAAAGCTATTTGCAAAGCTATTTTAATAAATTACCATTTTGACTAAAAATTATAACAATTTTCAGTAGTTGACGTGACCTTTTGGCGCCCTTTTGACCAACAAGAGCAAGTTCATTTTTGGTTGAGGAAGTGGAAGTGACACCAACTGCATTGCGGGCCAGTCGCGTCAAAAAGTATTTGTTTGAGAACTTCTTAGTCACAGTTAGTTTGTTTGTTGTTCTGCCTCTATTGTTATTGTTGTTGGTATTGTTGTTTTAATCCCACTTATTGTTGTTGTTGCCAGGCAAACAATGAAGAAAAGTGTTGGCCTGTCTGAGGCAGGAACTTGGCTGGCGGCCAAGCAAATCCATGAGATACACATAAACACATCCATTTCCCCTGCCAAGTAAGTCAAAGGAGTCCTCCCTCCTTTTTTCCGTTTCGGGTTTTTGGGTATAAGGCTTGTGGATGTGGAGTGAAATAGATGTCTTTAAAGCGAGGGAATGACGTCGCCAGGCATCATAAAAATGCCAACTATGCGCATTAATTATACGCAAATTGTTCATTGTTCGCTCTTCGCCTCTAATCGCATTAACCATGGCAGCAGCAAGCGGGCTAAACTTGTGGTAGACTTTTCTAATTTATGCGCCTAATTGACTCAAAGTAAAATTTTCTCTTGCTTGACATATTTCGCGTGGGTTCATCTGCCCCTCAGCGTGCCGCGTGTCATGTAAATGTCAAACTTTGAGCAAGAGCCAAAGATCTGGAGCCAGAGCTGGAGCAGGAGTTGGAACAGGGGAAACTTTCGCTTTATAAATAAATTTGCGAGTAACAGAGAACTGAAATACCAGCTACTAATTTATGCAAATTGTTTTGTTTGACAAATTAAATGAACATTAGAATTATTTTCTGATGTTTTTCACTCAGAACACAAATATTTTCAATTAATTAGATGACAGAATTTATAAAATTCTAAGCTACTAATGACTGGCACGCGTTTAAAAGAGGTTTCATGAAGTTAAGGTAATCATTTTTAAAATTTGTATTTATACCGAAACTATTTCTCAACTAAAAATAGAATGCCACCACATTTCAAACTGTTTGCAACTACCATCGTTTGAGGCAATTAACACA